AAATAAATTAAAAAAAAAAAAAAAAAACATTTGTTAAAAAAAAAGTGATGCCAGACCATTGCAAACACTGTTCAGAGGTCACGCCAAGCAGGACTCAGAAAAGTTAAAACATACGTAGCACAGTTGTGACTCTGTGTTCGCCCTTTCTTTTGTTTGGATAGTTGACTTTTTAGTTTAAGACAAGTGTGTTCAATTATTGTTTGACTATGAGGATTACAGGGGATCCCTGGATCATGCTTTATCTTAAAATTTTTACTAATAGAAGCGGGACTGATAGCAGGGTTTTTTTTGTTGTTGTTGTTTGTTTTTTGGCAGAACCAAGGATTCAACTCACGCCCTTGTGCTTGCCCAGCAAGCGCTTATTCTACTGAGCCAGCTCCCTAGCCCCTGGCAGCAGGTTTTAATGTCTGTGACACTCTTAAGTTAGCAAAGGCTAATACACAGTGTTGTATGACACACTGATTTCATTTACCTGAATGACAGGTAGCACGGATCACATGCAAGCAGGTATCTACAGATGCATGAATATATTTAGGCTTGTTAAAAGAAGATATGTGAGTAACATTCATTTGCCATAACTGGTTCGTTCTGAGACCTCTGGGATTGCAGCTCTGCCAAGGAACAGGCCTAGCGATGAGCCGACAGGCAGGACATGACACCATGATGTGTCTAGTTTGTGCTCTGATAATTTTAAATTCCTTTGCAGCGATTTAGAATTTTGAGAAAGAAGTTTATGGGGTTGTCTTGCTCTATTAAAAATGGAAACCAGATTCCAATGGGACATGATATGATCAAGAAAGAATGGAGCAGTACTACTTAATACACCTCCTAGCAATTTTAAAAATAGTTGTGGAAGGGCCAGCCAAATAGCTCAGTGGGTTAAAGCGCCTGCGAGCAGGTGCAGGGGCCGGGGGTTCGATCCCCGGGCCTGCCATGCCAGACTGGGCATGGTGGCGTGTGCCCGTAATCCCAGCTCTTGGGAGGCTGTAAACAGGTGGATCGCTATGAGTCTGAACTAGTAGTGAGACCCTGAACACCCTGTAGGCCCTTCCCTAAAGATACAATAACAGTAATAATAATAGTTGTGATGAAGTAGGCTTGCGGTGACTGCCGTTGTTCTTCTACCAGTGTAGATAAAATCCTTAACTTTTCCTGTGGAGTACCAAGACTTCATTATAAATCCAATTTTCGATCTATATTGTTTAACTAAAGGTGCAATTGTAAGAGTGCAGCCCTGCAAATTTTTAGCCAAGCCTTTTGCTTTCTTGATACTTCATCTTTGCCAACATTCTGCCATCTGGTGACATACACCTCTGAGGGGCAGAAGTAAGGAGGAGAGTATCCCAGTTTTTCATGAGGTCTGTGCCCCACAGGTTGACAGGAAGGGATGTAATGAGCCCCATTACAGTGCCTGCCTGCCCATCATGGCCAAGGTAAGGGAGAGGCAGTGAGCTGTGAAACAGACCGAGGGGAGCCTATCAAAGTGGGGAGGTGGGTCTACTTGGCCAAGGAAATGGTCATGATTGGCTGTTTACTATAGTGATGTCAGCTCCTGTATCCATCAAGCCAGTAAACAATTTCCCATTTAATTTAATGTTACAAATAGGTCTAGGAACTGAAATGCTCTGGGAAAA